GTTTGCCAACCACTGCCCTAAACAATATAGTATAACTATTTACATAGCATTTATATTGTATTAGGTATTATAAGTAATCTGGAGTTGATTTAAAGTTTATAGCAAGGATGTGCAAAGGCTATATGCAAATGCTACACCATTTTATGTAAGTGACTTTAGCATCCACATATTTTGGTTTCCACTGGGAGTCCTGAAGCCAATCCCACACAGTTACCAAGAAACAGCAAAAATATATACATACACATTTGTATTCCTCCCTTTTAAAAAACAAAAGACTGTTATCAGTGTTCTCCATTTTTATTTTATCAGTTTGACAAATATTGTAGAGATTATTCCCCATTAATCCGCATATTATTTCACCTCTTTTTTTAGCTGTTGCATAGTATTCCACAATATACTGTGACTCCAAATTAGTCTTTGTTTCTTTGTTTTTAAGATGAGGCCCACCTTTCTTATACGAGGAAACAGCAGCTGGGTGGCGGATAGAGTTTTGACATCTGGGCTCTTGTCCTTACTGTCCTTCTAAGCATGAGCTCAGGCTTAAGTGACTTGCATGACATCTGTGAGCTTTGGCATCCCCATCTTAAAGGATTGGCAAGAAATTCCAGTTCTTACACTCTGACTTAAGATCGTTGTGGTAGTGAAAGAAGACTTTACCAGCATTTACAAAGGGCACAAGGCAGTGAATGGTTTGGAATTAATAGAATACTATAACTAGTCTTTGTAAAATGGAAGTAAATTATAAAAGCAGTTCATTCTTCCTATAGAAAAAGTTTTTGAATTTAAAAAAAATTTAAATAGCAATCTCAATCAAGAGCCAAGTATTGTTTTCTAGTAGCTACCTATGAAAAAGTTAGATTGAGGTTTTAAAATTTTTTTAAAAGCAAATTTTTAAATCTTCTGTTGGTCTCTTCTATCAGGACAGGTTTGCTATCCTTAAAGCAAATTTGGAAGTGGATTAAATTATGAGCATCTGTTATGCAGTATTTAAGAAAATGATATCAAAACAGACAGTTCACGTGCTGCCCCTGACACTTACCTGGTACAGCTTAACTTTTCTATCTGCCCTCATAAGGTTATTATGAAGATTCAGTGAGTTTTAATAATCATAAAGCTCTTAGAATGCTGCCTGGCTCATATAAACACTCAATAAATGTTAACTGTGATGAATAAATGGTGAAAGTACAGCATTAGGAAGGAAGGAAGGAAGGAAGGAAGGAAGGAAGGAAGGAAGGAAGGAAGGAAGGAAGGAAAGGAAGGAAGGAAGGGAGAAAAGAAAAGAAAGAAAGAAAGAAGGAAGGAAGGAAGGAAGGAAGGAAGGAAGGAAGGAAGGAAGGAAGGAAGGAAGGACGGACAGCATATCTGTGGCTGACAGCAGAGAGGTCTAGAATCGGAACTGTCAGGGCCCTGAAGGAGTTGTGTGATGGGGAGAGGGAGAGAGGGTGGTGAACGTGACAAGTCTGTGAATCTGTCACAGGACCAGAGAACTTAGGAGCAGGTGCTTTCCAGCCAGTGTGCTTTCGTGTTCTAGAAGAGATGTGCACTTTGTAAGTAAAACCGTTTGATTGGGGAGTCTGCCATGGAGTGGCTGTATATAGCCTTTCCGGTTTTATTCTGAGAAGGAATGGGGCTTCACTTTTTATATCAATGACATCAAAAGATGTTTTTTTAATTATTTATTCAGGCCTTCTATTGTAAGGAATTGTCCTAGACATCCTTAAAAAGGGCTCTCTTGTAATTTTCACAACCATCCTATAAGATGTTATTCTAACTAGAGAGAGAGGTTGTGGCTTGCCCATAGTTAGCTTGCTGATAAATGATAGAACCAGAATTCTAAGTCAGCTGTCTGATTTTAAAGCCCACCCTGAGACTGTTGACAAAACAACCACCTTTTCAACCCTGAGGATGGTGATGACAGTTGTCTTTACACTCTATGGGGGACGAAGCTTGCAAATGAAGCTGATACGACAAGAGTTTCTGCCTAGAGACTGAGAGTTAACATTTGTACTTGGATCTTGGCCTAAATAAGAAAATGACAAGCCAGAGTCCTAAGCTTTCCAGTTGGATTCTTGTCTGATAATCTACTACATCCTTCAGCCAACTGTCTGCTGCAAGCTGGAACTAGACCAGAAGGAAGCAGGAGTACATTATGGAGAAGATGTGATGTAGGACGACTGCCATTCTTGTCCAAACAGCTGTGTGAATCCTGGCACCAAACTGAGCCTCAGTTGCGTTTTCTGCCAGATGTTGCCAGTGACCTTTTCTCTTACCCACTAATCATGTGTGGGTAACCCCTTCAGGTCCTTAGAAGAAAGATGCAGCATGAACCAACTTGTTCTTTCCGCAGCTTTAAGAGAGACACTTGGGACTAAAATAGGCCTGAAATTCCACTGGCTTTATGGAATTCCAACAAAATGTCAGACAGTGTCTTTCCTGTCTTACACTCAGAAGCCTGTCCTTACAGCAGTTCAGCATCATGCTTAAAAAGCCCAGCCTTTAG